ATATATATATATATTCTTAACGGGTTAACAGATTATCCGTTAAGAAAATTGAATAATTCGCCCCCAAACCGATAAGCCGTTAATAAAAATATTTTAATATGTTCCCCGTCCGTTAACCCGATACCAATAAGCCATTAAAATTCGATTTCAGTTCGGTTTTCGATTTCGGTTTGGTTTTGAACACCCCTATAGACTACTGACGAGCGCAAAACACAATACGAAATTGATGCTCGCTAGCCAAAGATATTATAGTTTAATTATCGTCTCCATATGGATTGGATTTAAACAATGCTCAAGTAACTTCTAGCTTAACACTATTCAGAATGATTAATACTTTGGTTGAGATAATTAATAACTAAAATTGACTATGAAACTAAGACAATTAACAATTGATCACAGAAAGACAAGAGTTGAGCAACACCGAAACATCAATGGGAGAAATAAGAGTCATGACAAGATATGTGCAAGATAGCTATTTGGGATCTAACTCTAGTTCAATTCACTCTAAAGTTCTAATGATTCTCACGAATTCACTCGATGATTAGTTCAAACGTGTAGTTAAGCCTCCTCTCTATATTAAATCTTAATGCTATGAGGTGAACTAATATAAGCACTGTGAACATAAGAAAGCATGCGTTAATGGATTAGTCTTCAGGAAAACGTCTCTCGAATATTCTCCTAACTTGATTTAATCAACAATTCAACAAGCTCTTTCGATTACTTAGAAGAATCACTGAATTAAACCAAATAAAATAATAAAAAAATATTCACCAAAATATTCCTCTTTTGATTAAATAAACTGGTGAATAAAGTTGCAATCAATTCAAAGCTCCATAAACGAATTCAAGCAAAGAACTAGAGTTAAAATCCACAAATATCAATCAAAACACCATATCCGTCAAATCCTAAGGTAAACTACTCCATATTCATGGAGAAATTCATCACAAATAAAGTTGAATAATAAGAAAATATGAATTCAATCCAAACTCCGGTGTTGAGTTGAGGAAAGAATGATGAATCCTTGTGCTTTGCGTCTCCAATGCTCTTCCAATCTTCTGTAGGTCAAAAGTCCTCTTAGAAATGTGTTTCTAATGTATTTATACCAAGTAGGAAAGAACCCGGACGAAACTACTCTCTTTGAGGTGAAGTGGAAAAACCGACAAAAATTTTACACTTCATGTGCCGCACTATGCTGCGCAACTGGCGTAGCATTAGTGCAATTTTCTAGGTTGTAAACTCTCTGAACTTAGCTTGTCTAACAAAATTTTGTACTGATGCTACATATTATGCCTAGCATTAGTGTATTTTTCTGTCAGACCTAAAAACTCCAAGTCTTTGAACTTCTCAAACTTCTAATGAAATTTTGTACTAATGCCACCTTATGCGATGTACTAGTACATTTTTCTCTAGCCCTTGCTCTTTCTTCCAACTTTCGTATACAACGCCAGTCCACGAGCCCTGGACGCGATCCCAGTTTAAATTTCTTGGGCTTTTACTCAGACTTCAAAGCTCCAAATTATTCGATTTAGATCCAGAACATATTCTTACCTCGGAGTCATCTCTTACAAAGCATAAAACACGTAATAAGTGCAAATCACCATCATTTAAGCTCAAACACGCTCAAAGTGCAGTAATTATAGTGCAAAATGTAGCTAAAACACGTGTTCCTAGTCTTCCAACAACACCCACACTTGAACCATTGCTCGTCCTCAAGCAATCAAACTGTACTTCACATAGAGACGACCTTCTTATCAGACCACTTTCGTGACGCATTATGCCAGGAATATTTAAAACAGACTAAGCACCATACCATAACACCCTAGCCTCAACACTCGACTAAAAGTACCACACATTTCTCACAACCTACTCACTTACTCTAACACGGAGGTTAAAAATTTTAACTTACCTTCGCAAATCGTGTGCCCTCACACCAAAGATAGAGAGTAGTTACATACAAAATAAAATTCAATAACAACTAGGAATTCAAGATAGAAAGAATTAAATCACTCTCAAAAATAAAATTCATGCGCCACATAAAATGTACCATAGGCTTTCCCGTAGTGTAATACTTTACTAATTTAGCTTTTTTAGTCAAGGATCATGTAGGACTTTAATTGGTTGTAATGTAGGCTGCGGGACAGGTAGGATACATTTGGATATAGTGACTACACGTCCCTAAGAACATTGATACATACAATTTCAATATTTAAACCCCACACTTATTTTGAATCATACCCCAACCTTCACAACATTAAGCTCCCACTATTTTTAAGCACATACAAGATGAGAACTACCACTAGCAAGGGATTAATTTTTCTCTTTTCTACCACATACACATTTTTTTTTCTTATTTTCAAAGTTTTGATTTATTTTTCTTTCTCTTTTTTTTCTCCAACTCCTTACATGTGGATCTCATAATTTTTCAAACAATGCATCTTTCTCCTTTTTCAATAGTTCCACTCAAAAAACCCGACCATACCTCACTTAGCTTGTACAAGCTCATAACAAAACTAAGTGCTCAAGATAGGTAAAAAGTTCAAATAGATAGTTAATTCAAACAAAGTGGATCAGGCTTGCAGTGTGGTAGCCAAAGAAATAGGATCACAGGCTCAACAGGGTTAACTAGGATACACAACAATTAGGTGGGTCACAGACATATAATTGGCTCAACAAAGAAATACCTATATCACTTCCTAGACTGAACAAGACTACTATTTCGCTTTGCAAACAGACGGGGCAAGTTCTAGACATCACTGAAATGCACAGAATATCAACAAAAACCTCACTCATATATTGGCACAAAACTACTTAGGATCGAATCCATCCCGACTCTATAGTCAAAATAGTTAAGCAAAGTTGCAATCACACAATTTAAGGTACTTATTTAGAAGTTAAGAACTGAGCCTAGGCGTCACAAATAAGGCACTCTTTACTCTCAAGGCACAAAAAGTCAAAAGTAGTTATCTCCATTTAACACATAGCACAAAACTTCACTACTCCTACTAAAAGAAAAACTAACTACACCCGGTTCAAACAAAACCCTAGAAAAGAACCACGGCACAAAGAAAAACTAAAGGAAAATTGTTACACAACTTAAAAAAACAAAACAAAATAAACGGCTAAATTTTTTTCTTCCTCGACTTTAATCCCTCAAGAAGACAGTCGAGAAAATCCATCGTCGGGCAAAGTCAATTTTTTTCAATCAAAAGAAACGATTACAGACACACATATACATATTTACATTACCCACCCCACACTTTAAATTATGGCATGTCCCCCATAACACACAACTAAAAATCAAGAGGTAAAGGAAACCTCCCTAATTCATCTAACCGGGGTCGGAATCGAAGTCAGGATCTCTATTGCACGCCCGACCCAGTGCACACATCCATGATGAGAGCATCTTTTTTGTCCTCTTTGGATGCACCCCACACTTATCAGCTTCACTCTTTCTAATTTTTCTCTTTCACCCCTTTCTCCTTCCATCTTGAAGATCAACTTTTCATCCCCCACTCTAAGCATGAGCTGCCTTTCCTTGAATATCTAGAATTGCTCTGGACGTAGCCAAGAAGGGTCTTCCTAAAATCATAGGGACCTCCTTATTTTCCTCCATGTTTACCACAATGAAGTCACAGGGAATTTGTCCACCCGAACTAGCACATCTTCCACTATTTATTTAGGTATGATTGTGGTCTGATCTGCCAGCTGCAAGGACACAGGTACCGACCTGGTCTCTCTAATCTATCCCGCCAATTTACTGAAAATAGACAAAGGCATAAGATTAATAGAAGAACCTGAATCACACAAATATTTTTGAAATTTAGTACTTCCTAAGAGCAAGGTATAGTAAAACTCCCTGGATCTCCACATTTTTGAGGGAGTTTATTTTGCAAGATGGCACTACAATGCTCTGTCAGCTTGACAATCGATGTCTCTTCTACATTCCGCTTCTTGGACAATATTTCATTCATGAATCTGGCATAAGATGGCATCTGCGAAAGCACCTCTGTGAAAGGTATATTCACATGCACCTGCTTGAACACTTCTAGAAAGCGCTCGAATTGTTTATCTAGCTTTTCTCTTCTTTGTTTCTGGTGGAAAGATAGAGCAAGCATGTATTTGCTCTCTTTAGTCTCATTATTTGTTGAAATATCATTTTTCTTCTTTTTCTGAGCTTTAATCTTCCCCTTCTTCTTCAAATCCTCATCTACCCTCACTACACCTTCTTGAATGTTGCTGATTTTCTGTTCCTCCACAATCTCCACTTGTCTTTCAACCGACTCATCCTTTCGCTTTTCTATGAGATCCTCTAATTCATGCCCACTCCTCAAAGATACTGCATTGATTATCTCTTTTGGATTTCTTTCTGTATCAGCAGGAAGCGTTCCTGAAACCCTCTCAGACAATAGAGCAGCTAGTTGCTCGACCTGTCTTTCCAGGTTTCGAAAAGATGTGTCCAATTCTTTTATAGTTGCACTATGGGTGTCAAGTTTCTCATATGTCTTGATAATAAAGGCATACATTAGATCTTCCATGCTAGACTGTGGAGGCTGATATTGCTGCCTCTACTGATTTTGAAAGGTTGGAGCTCCTTGTCCCTGAGGTCTAAATTTATTTTGTTGGCATGCATTCAGGCTACCACTTGGTGAATTCCAAGAAAGGTCAAAGTGTCTCTGTCCCATAGGATTGAAATTATTACCACTTTGGTAGTTGCCTCTATCAAAGTTTCCCACACCATTTACCACTTCATTTTCAGCTATGACCTGACACTCATGCGTTAGATGACCCAATCCACAGAAATCACAAACTAGTGATGGTTGGCTATGGACCTTGGCTAAGGTCAACTTTCTTATCTCTTTAGCCATGGCTTCCAGTTGGGCTTGCACTGCGGTGTTAGAATCTACTTGATGAACCCCAACTGATCTTCTTCTATCATTACTTTTAGTCGGCCACTGATTGGCATCTTCAGATCGCTCATCAAGAATTTCCACAATCTCCTCAAGAATCTTCTTCATTAAAAGACCTCCCACTACAGTTCAGAGTTCGTCGTGAAGGGAGTGTTAGTCCATCCCAAAAGTCCTGGAGTTGCATTCACAATTCAATCCCATTATGTTGACACTTTCTCACTATTTCCTTAAATATTTCCCAAGCCTCGAAAACTATTTTAGTGTCCGTCTGGCAGAAGCTGTGAATTTTCCTTCTAAACTTCATTGTTTTTGCAGCTGAGAAGTATTTGTCAATAAACTTTCTAGTCATATCTTCCCATGTCCTGATCGACCCCATTGGTAAGCTATGAAGCTAGTGTTTCGCGTCATCCTTCAGTGAAAAGGGGCATGCCCTTAAGTATACTGCATCTTTTGACACTCCATTGTACTAGAAAGTGTTCATGATTTCCTCAAAATCCATCAAGTGAGTGTTAGAATCTTCATTCACCTTCCCTTTGAAGATATAGTTGTTCTGGATAGTTTGAAACAAGCCTTGCTTCAACTCAAAATTATTTGTTGCTACTGGTGAAGGTATGACACTGGATAGTCTCTAATTGTAGACTGGTCTGGCATAATCACCCAATGCTCTACCAGGCTTGGGTATTGCATTCTCTAACTAGTCTTCAATCAATGGTCGATTTAGATTGAATCTTCAGCCCTCCTCATCGTTGACGGTCTCATCGACAACTCTACGGGATGCCTCAGCTGCTATTCGTGCAGCTTCTTGTTGTGCCGCTTCTCTTGCACCTAATTCTACCTCGTGTTCACTGTTATTAGCCATATGTTCTTGAGTTGAAGGTTTCCCCAAGAACTTTCCGGTAAGTTCTTTCTTTCCTCAATTGTCGCAGACTCTTTTCTACCTCTGGATTGTATGGAATCAGTTCCTTTGAAGAATATCGAGTCATACACTAGAGACATCAATTTGTTGCCTGCACACGGAAGAGGAAACCCGGGAAGAATAAAAAAGAAAAAGAAAATAAAATAAATTCCAGAATACAATAAGAAATTGATGCTCGCTAGCCAAAGATCGCATAGTTTAATTATCGTCTCCACAGGGATTGGATTTAAACAATGCTCAAGTAATTTCTAGCTTAACACTATTCAGAATGATTAATACTCTGGTTGGGATAATTAATAACTAAAATTGACTATGAAACTAAAACAATTAATAATTGATCACAGAAAGACAAGAGTTGAGCAACACATAAATATCAATGGGAGAAATAAAGGTCATGATAGGATAGGTGCAAGATAGCTATTTGGGATCTAAATCTAGTCCAATTCACTCTAAAGTTCTAATGATTCTCACGAATTCACTCGATGATTAGTTCAACGCGTAGTTAAAACTCCTCTCTCGATTAAATCTTAACTCTACAAGGTGAACTAATATAAGCACTGTGAACATCAGGCATGTGTTAATGATTAGTTTTTAGGAAAACGTCTCTTGAATATTCTCCTAACTTGATTTAATCAACAATTCAACAAGCTCTTTCGATTATTTAAAAGAATCACTGAATTAAACCTAACAAAATAATGCAAAGATATTCACCAAAATATTCCTCTTTCGATTAAATAAACCGGTGAATAAAGTTGCAATCAATTCAAAGCTCTATAAACGAATTCAAGCAAAGAACTAGAGTTAAAATTCACAAATATCAATCAAAATACCATATCCGTCAAACCCTAAGGTAAACTACTCCATATTCATGGAGAAATTCATCACAAATAAAGTTGAATAATAAGTAAACATGAATTCAATCCAAACTCGGGTGTTGAGTTAAGGAAAGAATGATGAATCCTTGTGCTTAGAGTCTCGTATGCTCTTCCAATCTTATGCAAAAGTCCTGTCAAAAATATGTTTCTAATATATTTATACCAAGTAGGAACGAACCCGGACGAAACTACCCTCTTTGAGGCGAAGTGGAAAAACCTACAAACGTTTTACACTTCATGCATCGCACTATGCTACGCATCATGCGTAGCATTAGTGCAATTTGCTAGGTTGTAAAATCTCTGAACTTAGCTTGTCTGACAAAATTTTGTACTGATGCTACGCACTATGCCTAGCATTAGTGTATTTTTCTCTCAGACCCAAAAACTCCAAGTCTCTGAACTTCTCAAGCTTCTGACAAAATTTTGTACTAATGCGATGCTCAATGCCACACTTTATGTGACGCACTAGTACATTTTGCTCTAGCCCTTTCTCTTTCTTCCAACTTTCATATTCAACGCCGGTCCATGAGCCCATACGCGATTCCGGTTTAAATTCCTTGGACTTTTACTCAGACTTCAAAGCTCCAAATTATTCGATTTAGCTCCAAAACATCTTCTTAACTCGAAATCATCTCCTACAAAGTATAAAACATGTAATAAGTGCAAATCACCATCATTTAAGCTCAAACACGCTCAAAGTGCAGTAATTAGAGTGCAAAATACGACTAAAACATGTGTTTCTAGCCTATCATCAACTAACTTTCCCTACTAGTTCAAGTAAAAGTTCTCCTAAAATTTTATCTTGTTCATATGGATGTATGGGGACCTTACAAAGTTTAAACTTTTGATGGAAACAAATATTTTCTAACCATAGTAGATAATTTCACTAGAATGGCATGGGTCTATTTGTTAAAACTAAAATCATATGCTAGTACTGTTATTCCATTCTTCCTAAAATATGTTCAAACTCAATTTAAGGTCATGGTTAAAGTTGTTAGATCTGACAATGGTGCTGAGTTCCTAAATGATGTATGTAACAATATGTTCAAACAATTAGGTATAATACATCAAAGGTCATGTGCCTATACTCCTCAGCAAAATAGCATAGTAGAAAGAAAACATAGACATATTCTAGAAATAACAAGAGTAGTGAGGTTTCAGGAAAATATTCCTCTAAAATTTTGGGGACATTGTGTTCAAATTGTTGTGTATTTCATTAATAGGTTGCCTTCATTTGTGATTAAAGTATCTCCATATGAAAAGATGTATAACAGAAAAGCTTGACTCAATCACCTAAGAGTAATATGATGCCTATGCTATCCCAAGAACCTTGTTGAAACTGATAAACTACAACCAAGGACAATGACTGTTGTATTGATGGGATACTCAAAGGTACAAAAAGATTATATTTTATATGATCTCAATAAGAAATGTTTTTTTTGCCAGCAGGGATGTTAGTTTCAGGGAAGATATTTTTTCATTCAAATGGAGTACTACTGAGATTCCAATATTCACCAACACTATGACTGAGATAGCTTCAGTAGATGAACACAACCTACCAAGTCTGGAACTACAAGAGTGTTCTGACAAGAGAGTGCATGAAACAATGAGATAGCACAACATGAAATAGCATAACAACCATCAACTATGAGCCCATCATTGCCTCCAGCTCATACCAATCTAGAAACACAATCCATTATAAACACACAACCTCTAATACAACCCACTGTAGCACCAACAACTCAACCATTGCTCACTCAGTCTATGTCAAGATCAAACCCAAGAGTTGAACTCACTAGAAAATCAACAAGAACTTCAAAGCCACCTATATGGAGAAAAAACCTCAGATCTCTTAGTTTACATAACAGTACCACTTATCCAATCTCATACTTCATCTCCTATAACAAAATGCCACCAAAATACAGTGATTTTCTACCAGCCTTCTCATCTATTACAAAACCTCAGTCTTATGCTGAAGCAACTCAAGATCCAAATTGGGTTGAAGCAATGCAGTCGGAGATCAATGCACTACAAGAGAATAACACATGGGAGATTGTAAGCTTGGCAAAAGGGATGAAACCGATTGGTTGCAGATGGATATACAAGATTAAGTATAAAGCAACATTTGAAGTAGAAAGGCTTAAGGAAAGACTTGTAGCAAAAGGCTACATTCAACAAGAAGGCATAGACTACTAGGAGAAATTTTCTCCTGTAGTCAAGATGGTGACATTGAGATCAATCCTATCTATAGTAGCTTCAAGAGGTTGACATATACACCAAATGAATGTGTATAATACCTTCTTACAAGGAGATCTCACTAATAAAATATACATAAAATTACCACAGGGATTTCAAAGTCAGGGGGAGACTAAAGTGTGTAGACTCATAAAATCCCTTTATGGATTAAAACAGGCACCAAAGCAGTGGAATGCAAAATTCACAGAAGCTTTGTTGAGTTTTCAGTTTACTCAGAGCCAATTTGATCATTCCCTATTCATCAAGAGAACAAACAAAGGCACTACGGTGGTTCTTATCTATGTTGATGACATGTTGATAGCATGTGATATGTTGGATCTTATAGAGGACACCAGGAGTGCACTACAAAAAATATTTAAGATGAAGGACTTGGGAGAATTAAAATACTTTCTAGGGATTGGATTTGCAAGATCAAATAAAGGAATCCTAATGCATCAAAGAAAATATGCATTAGAATTAGTGTCTGAACTTGGACTCTCAGCTGCAAAACCAACAGGTACACTTATGGACAACAATCTGAAACTTACAACTAGGGAATATGATGAACACTTCTCATATGAAGTCCTAACTGATCGAGGACC